CCCAAATAAACACCCACTTCTCGGAAAATAATGAGGAAGGTGGGGGGGGGGGAGGAGTGGCGGCTGACCCAACTCTTAACTCATGACTGACTCATGTCTCACCCCAACCCCAGTTTCTCAACTCATGACCGACCCCAACCCCAGTTTCTTAACTCATGACGTATTGTTTGTACTTTGCTTGCGGTTTAATGAAATAAAAACCCGCCTGAGAGCAGTGCTCAGGGTGTCAGTTTTCGAACTGCACCCCAAACGCGTTTGGTACGTATTGCAATAAAGGCCTCAGGCTCTGAGTCTGTGAACTAAAATCAGTGCGTGGGTGATTCTTTCCACGACAAAACGCTCAGAGTTTTTTTTATAAGCAGACATAACCTCTTTATAATTTATTTATTCAAGAAAGTTTAATTCTAATACAATATCTTGTTTTGAGAAAAGCCCTTCTTTTTACCTCATTTGATAGAGGAAGCTATGTGACTTGCCTGATTTTGCACAGTGGGCTTTGAACTCAGGACCCTCCCAGTTTTCAGCTCTTTGCTTGAATCCCTTTTGTTTCTACATATAATTAAGGTTTAAAAACATTCATTTAATTGTTAAAAGCATGAGAGTGATAATGAATAGATTTGTTGCTTGATATAAAATTGAGCTTTGAGAAACTATGTTCATGACCAGGTCGGGCACCCAGTTAATTCAAATTAATGGTCCCAGAGCCAGGGCTCTAGCCTGAGCCCGGATGTCTACACTGCAGTTTTTAGCTCCACATCCCAAGCCCTGTGAATCCCAGTCAGATGGCATGGATGGACATTGGTGTTTTATTGCAATAGAGACGTAACCCTAGACTTTAAAGCAAGAAGGGACCATCATGATAATCTTTTCTGACCTCCTGCACATTGCAGGCTACAGTACCTCATCCAGTGCCTCCTGTCATAGGCCCTGGCTGAGTTACTGAAGTCCTCAAATCTTGATTTAAAGACTTCAAGTTAAAGAGAATCCACCCTTTACTATAGTTCAAACCAACAAGTGTCTGATTCCCCAGGTTGCAGAGGAAGGCAAAAAATCTCCGTGGTCTCTGCCAACCTGACCTGGAGGAAACTTCCTTGCTGATATCAAATATGGCAATCAGTTAGATTCCAAGCATGTAGGCAAAACCTATCCACCAGATACCTGGGAAAGAATTTTATGTAGTAACTCAGAGTCCTCCCCCATCTCCAGTGATTGGTATTATTTGCTAATAGCAGTCGTGGATGGGCCATATGCCATTGTAGGCAGTCTCATTTTCCCATCCCTTCCATAAACTTACCAACTTCAGTCTTGAAGTCAGTTAGGTTTTTTATCTCAGTGCTCCCTTTGGAAGGCTGTTCCAGAACTTTGGTCTTCCGATGGTTGGGAAACCTTTGTCTAATTTCAAGTTTAAACTTATTGATGGCCAGTTTATATCCATTTGTTCTTGTTTCAACATTGACCCTTAACTTAAATAACTCCTCTCCCTCTCTGGTGTTTATTCCTCTGATGTGTTTATAGAGAGCAATCATGTCTTGCCTCAGCTTTCATTTGATCAGGCTAAGTGAGACAAGCTCCTTAAGTCTCCTCTCATAAGGCATGTTCTCCATTTCCTCTGATCATCCTAGTAGCCCTTCTCTCCAAAAATGCACACAGTGTTCCAGATGAGGTCTCACCAGTGACTTGTATAATGGTAAGAATACTTCCCTGTCTCTACTGGAAACACCTCGCCTGATGCATCCTAGGATTGCATTAGCCTTGTTCATGGCTGTATCACATTGGCAGAACCTAGTCATCCTATTATGGACCAATACCCCCAGCTCTTTCTTCTCCTCTGTTAATTGCAGCTGATAAAATAAGAAATCTCCGTGCAGCAGCTTGAACAGAGGACATTTGGATTCAAAATCAGTAGTTTTATACCTTGAACTAAACTGAATCCCATTACTATCACTGTAATCTTATTTCATGCCTCTCTCCACTAGAGGGTGCAACTATAACACCATGAATGTCCCTTTTAAAAAGAGGAGAATAAATAATTGAAAGCAAAAACTATTAATAATAATCATGAGTGTGCATAGAGTCTTCGCTATGACTATTGACTAGCATATTAATTCAGTACAATTACACGACTAATACTATATAGATCACTTTTTTTAGTGGATCTCAAATATTTTTTTATAAACACTAGCCAGTTCTATGACTCGTGATACCTCTGCGAGACAGAGAGTATACCTGTTTTACAGATAGGCAAACTCACACACAGTAGAGGGGTCAAGTGATTTCTCCAAGTTAGACACTGAGGAAAACTACATGATAGTCCCCAATTTTGTGCCAGGTACTGAAAAAAATGCCTTGTATTGTCAGCATTGTGCACTGCATACTCTTCTACTTTGTACCACTCTAATGACATTATTTTTCCTGGTATAAGAAGCAGGGCCTAAGGATGAGGGGATATGATTGCTCTCTAGAAATACATCAGAGAGTGAAAAACTACTTAAGCTGAAGGTTGGTGTTGGTACAAGAACCAATGGGTATAAGATGGTCATGAAAAAATTCAGGCTGGAATTTACAAGAAGGTTTCTCACCATCAGAAGGGTGAGGTTCTAGAACAGCCTCCAAAAGGAGTTGTGGAGGCAAACAACATAACTAGTTTTAAGATAGAATGGAAAAGTTTTATAAGTGCGCTTGTAGGATGGGGTTGCTTTTGATGGTAGGGTCTCACTTCCTGTTTATATCTTATGTTTCTAAAGCTTATGCTTCAGGGCTTCAAACAGTCACCTGGAAGGGGCAGGAAGGGATTTTTACCTCAAAGTGTATTCTGGGGGGGTATTTTTGGTCTCCTTCCTTTGAAGCATCAGAGATGGCTACAGTTGAAGATGAGACATTGGATATGGACAGCTAAGGTATTGATCATTCTCCCTCTCAGGTGCTTGATTGGCTGGTTGGCTCACATGCTCTGGGTCTAACTTATGTGGGGTCAGGAAGGAATTTCCCCCAGGTCAGATTGACAGTGACCTTGGGAGTTTTTTGCCGCCTTCTGCAGTGTGTGGGTGTGGCTCACTTGCCACGATTATCTGGGTATATCTCACTTAAGCATTTCCCTGCTATTGCAGGAGCCTCAGGCACTGGTGCATGCTGGTCCCTCCTTTTCACTCCCTGTGACACATAATAGTTTAGTCTCCTGTGAGCTGCAATGTTTTGTCTAATTTCAGTTGTTGGGTTTAATATGTGGGTGCTGGGTGGTGTTAGTGGCCTGTGATATGTAGAAGGTCAGACTAGAGGATCTGGTGGTCCATTCTGGCCTTAAATTCTATTTCTGTATGATGTATGGGATTTGGCACTTAGTGGTGGTACACAGTAAAGCCAAAAAAATGAGGGGAGGGCCCCATTTCTCTGTATCCATCTGTGGTCTCTTGTCTTATACTTAGTCTCTGTCCCCAAGAGCTTGCAATCTATCTTTTTGTTCTGTCTAGCACAATGGAGTACTGTTCCATGATGGGGGCTCCTAGGCACTATAGTAATAGTAATACAGATAATAGTAATAATAATAATTAAGAATTAATAATCAGAGGGGTAGCCGTGTTAGTCTGAATCTGTAAAAAGCAACAGAGGGTCCTGTGGCACCTTTAAGACTAACTAGAAGTATTGGGAGCATAAGCTTTCGTGGGTAAGAACCTCACTTCTTCAGATGCTGAAGAATCTGAAGAAGTGAGGTTCTTACCCACAAAAGCTTATGCTCCCAATACTTCTGTTAGTCTTAAAGGTGCCACAGGACCCTCTGTTGCTTTTTAAGAATTAATAATGTAAGAGAAGGAGTGGCCTTACATTCTGCTGTAAGAGGAACAGAAGGAGAGAAGAACAAGGGAGATCATTTTAAGAACACATTTTTGCATTAAAGACATTTAAAAACACCTGTAGACTTTTCTGCTATTAGTTTTCCATGTAAGCAATTGTCCTTTACAAAAAGAAGTTGCACAGACATTAGTGGAATCATTAGTGGGAGCAGAGAAGGTCCACAAGACAATGTCTCTAGTATGATACAAGTAAAAGCTATGGAATATAAATATATGTTCCCTGTCACGTACAGCTCATATCCCTTTATATGAATCCTATTTTTTCTGATCTTCAGTGTTAGGCAGACTCCTCCAATGTCTACCTATTGTTGATTGAGTTAATGTGACAGAAACCTATGTTTACTTTATCCCCACTGATCTAAATATTGCAGGTGTCTCTGGGAACATCAGTTAACTGAGCTGCTACTGTATATAATACAGTGATGCTATTTTTTTGTCTTGTTTACTGTATCCTTTCCTTCTGATCTGTATGTTGTCCAGTTAGTGACTCGTCTGGGTGTAGTGTTTGATCAGGTAGTAAAACTAGGATAATATCTCTTTTATGAGAAACTACACAATAAGACTTTGCTAATTCTGTCTCTGTCTGCTATGGTCACATCTACAGTGTGTCAGCCAGGATGTTTGCTTCTCATTTATTAAAGGCACTTGCAAACTATTTATAATGAAAATATTAAAACCATGAAACTACTCAAGATGTATTTCATTCAGTTTTGTATAACATAAGATGATAACATCTATTCTCATTTATTAGTGGTATATACTAAAAACTGTTCTGTGTAGTTGATGCTGCACAAGCTATATTGTGTTGCAGAACTGTTCACAACTTCTTCAGAGGTTTGTTGTAGCTTGGATGGTAAACAGAACTCATTGCACTTTACACTGCTACACTAGGGACCTCAGTTCTGGAATCAGGCTCCCTGAGTTCTGTGACACACTGGTTTTAAACCCTGTGAATGTGAGCTGGTTAGAAACATTTAGAAAATGAGGATTTGTATTGAATTCTATGTAAAAGTGCTGATCGGGTGGTACTTTTAAGGCCTAATTCTGTAAGCCCATCACATGCAGATCTCCAGCTGAAGGGATATCTGGGTGTGGAGGGCTCCCAGGATTGGGAATTTAATGTTTAATTTCATAGTGCCCTTTATTTTGTTAATGTTTTTTCCATACATTTCCATCAGTTACCCAATTTCCACTTTACTACAGGATCCAGTGCTGACATGCAATAAAGATGAGGGTGCTCTTTTGCAGAATTTGGGGTCAGTGTGTTACACACCCTCTTTCTTGCTAGTAATTGGGGGTGTGGCATCAGTGGTAAGGGAGGAGACAGATGATAGTGACCCAGCTATATTATTTTTAGGAACGCATAATAAGTAGTAACCGTGTAGCCAAAATCTCAGAACCAAATGTGAACGCACTGATTTTCCGCCCCCCCAGCAATAATTCAGAAAAGGTTAAAGAAAGAAAAAAAGGCAAAGAGGAAATTGCAAGAAGCGCTTGAATTTGAGACTAAGCGGCGGGAACAAGCAGAACAAACATTGAAACAGGCAACTTCAACAGACAGTCTCAGGGCCCTAAATGGTAAGAATTCAGCTTTTTGCTTCTCCTCAATTCATGTGCTGAAATAAGTTGTTATATTTCTCACAATTATTTTTGTGGTGCAGTAGGCCAAAACTCCCTTTTGTCTTCCTCCATTTAATTGCTTCTCTAGGTGTTGTGATGCTTTTTTTTTGCAGTATGTGTGAGCAAATATTACTTCACTGGAGAGAATGCCCAAACTAGAACAATTTGACGTTATTAGCTTGAGAAGTCAATTCTTTGTTTTTCTCCCTGCTTAAAAATCTATTCCTCATTAATCTTCCCAGTCTAAAAAAAATTGTCCTGGCCTCCAGTCATTGTTCAACATTAAAAAAAAAAGGTTGATTGTATTGTAATTCAGCATTGGAGCAACAGGCTGTAAAAAAGGCTATCGGAGTCAAATGAAATATGTGTCAGTCTTACCTTTCTGTGTTTCTAGACTCTCTGACCCCAGAGATAGAAGCTGACCGCAGCGGGGGCAGAACAGATGCTGAAAGGACAATACAAGGTAGGCATTTGCAAAAGGCTATAAATCTAGATCTTACTATATGAGTTTTTCCTCCACTTTAGCCTGTTATTCAAGCATGTAGCCTACCATCTGGGCCACATCAAAACAAGTTCAAACAAGGTCAAGTTCATCTTGCTTGTTTATAAGAGAGAATTCATTCTGTGCTGATAGATTTTCTTTAAATTAACAGGTCAATTCTGTTTATATAAAGCGAGTGAAGAGGAATAATTAATTTGAAACTATGCTGGATTGAATCTTAGCCACACTGAATGCATTTTTTTGAATGTGTATAGTCACGTCTAGGATAATAATGTTTCTTAAGGTATATTTGAAACACTCTGAGCCTTTTAACCATACCAATGAAAACCTGGATTAACCTATGCGTAATATTCAAGGTGTGCTGAAAACTTCATAGCTAATATTCAGTGGCAGTTACTGCAAAGTGTGTTTCAATAAGCTACTCCAAACATTAACAATAAATAAAACTGTGTATTCCCCTCTTGGATTTTTCATTTGCCAAATGTTCCATATCCCATTATTTGCATTTTAATAAAACGAATCTGCTGAGTAAATTTATACTTGGAATACTAAAGGGAGCCATATTACTTCCTCTGTGGAGCTAAATATATATATTGCAAACAGCAAGATATTAGTAAAGAACAAATTCCAAAGGTAGCATTTATGTTATAATGTCATCTATAGTCAGTAAGCTAACTCTACCAACATGAATACTAAACAACAGAAATAGCATTTGTTTTCAATTGTAAATGAAGGTGCATTTTTCAAAGGCAAGCCTAAAATGATTAGCTGCAGTAATCTCTCTCTCTCAATTGCCTTTATTTTGCATTTTAAAGTCAATCATCTTAACTGTATCATTTGACATCTTTTTGTCTGTTTCTTAATCACTTTTTCTAACCCCTAAAGGGTTGTGGCAAACTTTCCACAAAGAAGGCATTGGCAATATATTCAAAAGGCAAGAAAGCTTAATTTAATACAACAAGTTCAAACAAATTTAAAACAAGACAGGAAGTCCTTACAGAAATGTATATGCATATTACACACAAAAACACGTTAAAAGTTATGATTGCAATGTCAAGCCCTCAAAAGTTGGGAAATGCCACAGTGAAAGTTGCATGTGCAAGTTAAATTGGGCCCTGTTGTGTGTATGCATTATGTCTTTAACATGATCAAAATCTGTATTTTCCATTGAATCTTGCCTCATTCAGTGCACAGAATGGAGAGTACTTACTCAAAGAGCAGGTAATCAATATTTTATGTTATCCGCCTTTTGCAACATGTGACCCCATATCTTATTTACTGCACACTATTCAAAACCTGTTGTGGAGACAGAATTGTTCGTTTCCTCATGGGGCTTCTCTGTCATGCTTATCAATATAGTATCTGAGTGCTTCACAGATTTATCCTCACAACTCCCCTGTGAGAGGAAGGGGTTATATTATCCCCATTATAAAGATGGAGAGCTGTGGAACAGAAAGTTTTAGGCTCTGTCTGAAGGCGGCACGTGAGCTGATTTTCAGTGGCACTCACACTGCCCGGGTCCTGGCCACCAGTCTGTGGGGGGCTCTGCATTTTAATTTAATTTTAAATGAAGCTTCTAAACATTTTGAAACCTTATTTACTTTACATACAACAATAGTTTAGTTATATGTTATAAACTTCTAGAAAGAGACCTTCTAAAAAGGTTAAAATGTATTACTGGCACGCGAAACATTAAATTAGAATGAATAAATGAAGACTCGGCACACCACTTCTGAAAGGTTGCAGACCCCTGGTCTATACTATACTCGCCTATGTCGGAATAACTTGTGTCACTCAGGGGAGTAAATAAATCATCCTTCAGAGTGACATAAATTACTGATGTAAGCACAGGTGTGGACAGTGCTATGTCCTCGGGAGAGCTTCTCTTGCCAACATAGCATCTGCCGCTCACGGAGGCTGAAATAGTTAAGCAGATGGGAGAGCTCTCTCCTGTCAGTTTAGAGAGTCTATATTAGAGAGCTTACAGCAGCACAGCTGTATCGGTACAGCTGCACCCCTGTAAATGCTAGTATAGCTGTAGCCTAAGCGTACACTAGATTTGGGTGCCCAGTTTGAGACAATGGTGTCTGATTTTTTTGAGTACTCCAGTTTTTCTTAGCACTTCATCTGTTCAGAGCTCAGCTTCCATTCACTTGAGGTGTAGCTGTGAGTGCTCAGCCCACAGGTATCAAGTTGGGCATGCATAAAATGAAGAACATATAATTAATGGCCACCTGTGAATAGTTTAGTTTAAAAGCCTTGTCAACATTATATAGGAACTCCGTGGCAGATGCGGGGATAGAAACCTATTCTCCAGGGTGGCATTCATTTTTTTTAATTAGGAGACCATCCTTTTCCTTTCAACAATTCCCTATCACTTTCTAACTTCTGCAGTAAACGAGGCTGAGGTCCTACAAATCTCAGCCTGCTTTAGTACAGAACATTGACTCTTCCCCAGAATACTGTCTATCCTGTGCACTGAATGAAGGAGTCCCATGATAAAACTAGTATGTGATCATGTAATAAAAGACTGTACTATAATGCATACACTTAATTCTGGCATTTCCTAACTTTTGAGTACTTGACTTTGCACCCTTAACATTAATTTAAATGGTGGAGGGAGAAGGTAGGGTTATGTGTAATTTCCTAGGCTTTTAAAAAAGCAAACTGAAACAACAGAAATTCCATCATGTGGCATTATATTAGCACTCACATGGTTCATCAGCAGGGTTGGAAGCTTCAGATCCAAGCTACCTGAGCTAGCTGATAGTAGTAGTAGGTTGTCATCATCTATGTGGACCTACCACAAGAGAAGAATGAAATATACACTTTGCCAGTAGGTTTCACAGATATTTATTGACCACAGAGGAATGTTGAGAGTCAGGAATTTTGGATTCAATCAGGGTGGATTGATTTAAATCACCAGTTTTAATGAAAATGTAAATTAACATGCAGGGAACTTTGATTTAAATAATAGATTTTAGTAATTTTTTGCATTTATACATTTAGTTTTATTCATAAAGAAAGGTTGGTTTACAACCATTAAAACATGTTGATTTGCTCTAAATATAGTGTTCTGGAATCTATGAACATATGAACTTTGCACTACACTTGGTGCTTCTTTTTGTTAACCAGAAGGATACACTATATCTATATACATTTATTTAACCAATTATATAGCTTAACATACAATTATTCAAATTCTTAATATTCACATTTTTAGTTATTTTAGAAAATGGCAAATGATGTATTTCGTATTTACTAGATGATGATTATTTTTTGTGGTTTGTGTCAAGTTCTATTTGGATGGAAATTCAAAATAAATTAAAATGCCCTAAAACAGCATTTAAAATTTGTTTATTAAATAAAACTAGCTTAAATACGTTGTAACCATAAGGAAAAAAGTTTTGTAAAAAGTTTATCATAACATATTTGGAATTTAAAACTAACTGATTTCTTAAACAAAGGAAGAACTATCTGTAGTTAGTGAACTGAATTAATTATTTCTAGTCATCATGTCCTTCAAGATTTTAGAACCTAGTTTTTACTAGTAGATTGGAAGATGAAAACAAGCTTTCCTGATTTTTCAGCTTCCACTTGGTTTTAACTTTGAACTAGGTGTAGTTGAACTGAACTAGTAGAATAAACTGAAATGAAAAAAGAAATCTTTCTTTACATGCAGAAGAGGGTTCTGCTATCAAAAGCTGGCTTAGCATTTCAACAAACTCTGGTTCCAGGTACTTAGCCAATAACTACCATTGGTTCAGTGATCAGACTTTCTTTAAAACATGGCAGCAAATATGTATTTTTGTATTTAATTTAAATTATTTTAAGATTATGAATAATTTAGGTCTTAACATAGATTGCCATATTCAAATTTAATTTTAAATGCATTTTTAAATGCATATTTAATTGAATTTAAAAATCTGATTTAAATACATCTGATTTATTTTTTATTAATCAATTATTATTTGTTTAAACATTATTGGTTTGTGTCCCCCCCTGGATTCAATTCCAGGTTCTGGAGGGGAATTTTCTCTAGTGGTCACAGAGACTTCTGTCCTGTTCCCTTTGGCTGCAGAGCCTAGGGAGGGCACTGAGGCCATGGCCCTACCTGGCCCACCACAGCCCAGCTTGGAGCAGGTGCTCCGGTGGCGACAAGGACAGGAAGAGGGCAGGGGTGGGGCATTGCATTGGGAGAGCCCCAGCTGCACTCTGTGGTGAGAGACAATGTGCTGAACAGGGGGATGGGTTAGCCCTGTGGGACAGGAGCCATTGTGGGGTGAGTGCAGGCCCCTTGGGGCCTCCTACCCCCTGGGGGCAGGACCCAACTCCCACCACCACCCATCTGACCCCCCTGCACACTTTAAAAGACACTCTGCAGCCCTTTCCTGTTCCCCTCACACTTGACCCTTTTCCCCGTGTCCCCTCTAGCTCATTTTGCCAGTCCTATCTCTCCCTATCCCAGCTCCTCATCCTAGTCTTCCTTCCCCATCCATATCCAGTCTCCTTCACCGGCCAATCCCAATCTCTTTCCTCCCACACACGGGCTCCTTTTCCCAGTCTCCAGGCCCATCCATTCCCAGTTCTCCTGCCCTGGATCCTCTCCTGATCTCAGTCTCAGCACCCCCGCCTCCATCTGGCTCTTAGTCTGATGTCAGGGTATCTCCTCCATGCATTGGCTCCCAGTCTCCCTCCTGTGCCATTTTGACCCCATTTTCCACCCCATCCCACCTCTAAGTCCCAGCCTCCCTTGCTCAGCCATTACCAGTATCCACCCATCTTAATGTTTCCCAGTACCAATCTTCCCCATGGGCTTCTTGTCCCAATCTACTTCCTCTGCTGCCTCTTCCCTCCCACCCCATCCCAGTCCAGCTCTTGGTAGTATGGATGGTACAATTGCCTATTTATCAACAATCATTATTTTTTTTAATTTTCAATATTGAATATGCTGAGCTAGGCAAACAAAACGGCGATTCTATGGGGAAGCAAGGTAAAACTAATATAAATTTTGAAATATCTAGTGCAATTTTAGAAAAGTTTAGGCCAAGAACTTAGGCAAAAAATAAAAATAAGTTAAAATATAAAAAAAATCATTTCTGCTTATTCTAAAAATAAGTTGACAGTTAATTGCATCCTAATAAAAGGATATTGTCAACTTAAGAATCATATTTAAACCTGATTTTTTTAAAACTTGCCATTGTTGTGATTACCTTAACTGGGGGAGATCAGTTCATTTGTCCACAATCCTTTTCACTGTTGGCCCTATATGGACTTTTAGACAGTTTCACACTGTTGTTTGTGTGGGTCTTTTACATAACAACAGAGGAAAGAAAAAAACATTTTAAAAAACAGGAAAATGTAAAAGCACAAAAATTGGAAGAAGAAATTAAAAGCAGGTATAGTACTTAACACTCCTTTTAATTCGCTTTTTAGTTTTTGTCTAGATTTCAATAAGGACTGAAAGCTATGAGCCTCAAACACACACACATATATTTTCTAATGACATACAGTCATATTAAACATTTTTTAAAAACTGGTGTCAACACTGGTTTTATATGTTTTCTTGTTTTTGATTTTTAACAAATAATAAAGCAGGTTATCCTCTTCTTCATACATATTGTAGGTTCACTAGATGCCTATGCCTAACTCCCAACCAGGTCTCCCAAGACCCCCTCATCCCACACAAAAAGGTACCATATAGAGAAATGTTTAACTTTTATATACTGTTTTGTTACCAGGCCTTTTGTTAAACAAGAATACAATGAAATTTACTGACTCCCTTATTTTTTTGTTCTTCCTCAGAAATCTCTCTCTTTACTCCACTTTCTTTCCCTCTCTACTTGCCTCTTTCCCCTCTAATGCATCTGTTACCCCTATAAATCTCTCCTTTCCCAACTTTCTTTCCCCCAGCCTTTTTCTCCACTCCCAGCCAGCTCACACATAGCTCTTCCCAGTTCTCTTTCCTCACCCTTTCCAATATACATTATCTAAACCTGTTCCCTGTTAACTCTCGCCCCCTTCTGTTCACTTCATGCCCCTTTTTGTCTCACATGTTCTGGTTACCTATTCCCCAGCCTGTTCCCATTATTTGTCCTCTCTCCCAAACCTTTCCTGCCTTTTTTTAAGCTTTCCTCACTTGCCTCCTGCCCTTGAGGCTCCCTTCTCTCTCTTGCCTTCCTCATTTCTTTCCCATTTTCTATTGCCATCAGTTCATCATTTGTTCCCAGTTCATCCTTTCCATTTGCAGATGTGATACTCAATGAAGAGCCTATGCCTTCTCAATCACTTCTCTGCCAACAATCCATCTTCTTTACCCTGGTGTCCCATAGTCTCAGGCCCATGATTTCCCTGGCCTCTCCAGATACCCCATTCCATTTCCTGAGTCCCTCCTTTGCCCTCTGCTCATCCCCATGGCTTCCCTGCCTCAATTATTCTTTCAGTCTAGTCTCTCTTCCATTAATCCAGCTTCTGATGACAGCATGCTCTAGTCCCTCTTCTGGCTGCCAGTCTCTTCATTGCTCCATCTCCTGGTTCTGCAGCAAACTGACCTGCCGCCCCCCAGCAGACCAATTCTCTACCTTCCAGTGGATCTTCTGCCTCCCATCAAGCATACCTCTTCCTCCCCATATCCCCTAAAGCAGAGCAATTCTGTGTTTCTCAAATCCTTTCCAGCAAACCAGTCTCCTCTCTCTCCCTTCATCCAGGTTCTCTAACATATCTGCAGGCTGATTTTCTGACCATGGGTGAAGGGATGCTAGAAATGGTTCCCAACTACTCTCTGACCCTGTGTAAGAAGGGAAGCTATCCTGTGCACGGAGTTCCCATCCAGATCTGGGCTCACTAGAGCATCTGTCCCCCTCCCCGTGAACCCACAGTGGGGTTCTCATTGCCTGTCTGGGAAACTAGCTGAGTCTTCCTCCCACAGGTAGCCAGTGGGGGGCAATACTGAGCAGTTGCAGCAGAGCAGAGAGAGCAGCTCCAACTCAGCACATTCCATAGTCACACAAGGAAGTAGTGCTCTCAGGGCTATGGGGCAGGCAGTGAGGGAGAAGTTGGGAAGGCAGTACCTCCTACCACCTCCCTGTTGTTATGAGCTGAGTGCTGAGCTTTGCTAGGAGCAGATTGATATTTTTAAGTAACACGCAGTGTGGTTTTAAGCCACAGCTGGCATGAGGTGGATGGGCCCAGCAGGAAATATTGGAGCAATGTACATGGTCAATCTACTCTTAGGTTGGCACAATACTGTTCAGAGCACCGAGAGGTTATTGCTCCTGCTGCACCCTTTGTTCAGATGTGTCATGTGTTTCTCAGTCAGCTCTGGGCCCACTGGGGTTTTGAGTAACACCACCAGTATGAGAGACTCATAGGACCATGTCCGGCCCCTTTGTGAGTGCCCATACAGTGCAAAGCCCATGCAGAGCAGTGTCCATGCAGTATTTCCATACGAATCATCTGACAGAACTAATATGTTGGTGATTTAACTGTGCGTATCCCAGGTACTTAACACGTGCACTTTGCTGTTTAAATATTGGGCAGATATTTAGGGCACAGGCTCTGCAAGCAGCTGCCACTAACATTAATGGGAATCATTTAGATAAGTCCTTAGTCTCTTGACTGAAAACATAACCTGAATTGTTTTCTGAACTCATCTGAATCTCTTTTAATCTATTATTAAACAACGAAAATGAGTGTAATAATCTCAGTAAATGAGCATTTATGTTTGATTCTTTTGCAAGATACTTGTCTTATGTTTGAAAAGTACACTTCTGAGATACCTGCGTATTTAAAAAAACCTGTCATTGTTATATGTACCACATGCACATGATTGTATTTCTGATGTAAAAATGTTGAGCAGGCTTTTCTCAATGCTTTACGGCATTTATTATGCCAAATATAAACCACGTTCAAAGAATATATTTAAGGTCACAAAGTCAAGCACTCAAAGTTAGGTAATGCCAGAATTAAGGATGTCCATACAACCTTAATTCAGTCCCCTTGTGCAAAGCATTTTGATATAGCCTTTAATTGACTGATCACGTACTATTATTTCCACAGAAACTTGACCTCATGCAGTGCACAGGATGGACAGTTCTCACTTAATGAGCAGCTATTCAGTATTTTGCTTTATACTCATTATTCAGTGTGTGGCTCTGTGCCTTATTTATTAACAGAAAAAAATAATATCTACCTCTTACATAGCAATTTGTATCAGAAGGTCTCAAAGTGTTTTACAAAGAAGGTAAATAAGTGGGAGCCGTGATCTGCCGAACCTATGGACGTGGCTGGTAAACAAACCGGCCCGGCCCGGCCCGCCAGGGTTCTTACCCTGGTGAGCCGCATGCCAAAGGTTGCCGATCCCTGCTCTAGTGCATTGTCTAGGTCAGTTTTAAAAATCAGCTTACATTGAAAGAACAAAAAGTTACTGAGATTTCTATGTGTTAGTGTTTGTTTTTTATTATTCACAAAGTTTCCACCACATCACTAGTTTCTTATAACAAGAAATACCTATTAGATATGGACTGCAAATATGTGCATTATTTGATCTGAATTATTTTAATATTTTGTTCAGATTAGTGAACCACCTCAAAGCACTACCTGATCACTAATCTCAAATGTTCAATCTATAGTTCCAGTCTTTTCTTCCTAAAATGTGTACATCTTAATTTAAATCTCTGTAGTCTGCTCAGGTACAGTACATACACAATTTTATGTCTGAGATACAAAAGATTATTATTGTAGGTAATTTATCACAGATATTACTCTGGATCTCATCTCCTGACAATGCAAGATTGTTCTAATGATTTGTCAATTCTAGTTTTAAAGTCCCAAATGATGGGGCATCCTCTTCTTTGCTTGTCCCGTTGCTTACTAGTTTCCTCTAGTAGGACATTTAACTAAAATGCCTTTCCTTAAAATCCTCCTTTGATTGATCTATTTCTTCCATCATTTCATCTATGGTGTCCACCATCTTTATTGAAATTACTGGCAATCTAAGGGCTTTGTCTTTAAAATGTTTGGATCCTCTACTTCTCTCAACACCATGAATTACTTTTACATTAAAACCGTCTTCTCCCTGGGCTTCTGTGACTACGATATCCTTATATAAATTAACCTCCCATGCTCTTTTTGCATTTCTTCTGGTGGCACTTCTTCTTTCTTCTCTCTCTGCTTCTCTGATGTGTCTCAAGTCACTGTCTCTATTCCACTCAGTTTCTCCCTTCTCTCTAATTCCAAGAGCAATTTCATCTGCTCCCATAGTTCCTTGAGGACAGAGTCATTCATCTGTACAGTACCACACATGCCAATAATGGTATGTACATTGTAATATTGATTACTCCCTACGGAAAGAAAAAATCTGATTATTTTATTATACTTTCTTCCAAGTCTTTCTTGACTTTTCTCATACCAACAGTTTATAGTTACAGTAAATATATATCTCAAATAAATCATTTTAAAGTTCTGCATTGGTATTCAGTTGACACTTCCTCATCAGCTCTGGAAGCTGTTGTGCCCTATGTAGTACCACTTGTTAAGTACAAGAAGTTTTTGTTGCTCATTCAAGGCAACCAGTATGGGACTTTAAGTAAAGAGGGGCTGGGGCTGTCTGAGTGTGACTGAGTTCCTGGTGTGCAACCTGAACTGTGGGACTGCTGAGTCCTCTGTCTCAGCAATCTTGGCTCCCTATCATACTGTAATGCTGTTGGCAAGCTACAAACCTCTGGCAGGTACTGCACTTACACATACATCCACAGGCAAGGACAAACCCAACTGAGTTACATGAATGCCTCTCCCAGCCATTCATTAACCAACAATAGCCAATTCCTCCCAACTTCCCAGACTTGTACAGTCATGCCCTCGTCTGAAGCCTGACCAATGTAAGTTCATTACCCAGTCCACCCCTTCCTCGATTTGGAGAAGACACACACTAGCCCTTATAAACTGAACTGAGATTTCCAAAGCAGTTTAACCAAAACACACTGTTTTGGGTAAAATAAAAAACAGAACAATAGATTTTAAATGATTATAAGTAGTAAGCAAAGAGATCAAAGTTGGTTACCTCAGAAATAAAAATATTTTTTTGCAATCTGAGTTCTATAAACTAAACAGGTTTTGAATCAAGCAGTGTCTCACCCTGACAGATGGTATAAACAAGTCGAAGATCTTTGATACACAGGCTAGAACTCTCCTCCAGCCCAGGACCACCCTCCCCAGTTCAAAGTCTTTGTCCTCCAGACGTTTTTCCAGGTGGTGAGTTGTGGGAGGGGGGGAATGAGGTCAATTCATGATGTCATTTCCCCTTTTTATAGTTTATTCCAGCTTTCTGGAAAGATCTATGCTTGTGACATGGAGGTCCGCACCCATTGATCAAGCAGCCTCCATTGTCTAAGCACTCTCTCAGAGAAGTCTTCTGGGATGGTTGCTGGGCAAGTGGATTCCCCTTTAATGGGCTATCAGAACATCTGGCTACTCCATTGTTATACTTGAAAGGCTGGTTGTGAGTGTTCCAACCTCACAATATATTTCAATAACACACACATAGCAAAATTTCATGGCTCCGCAAACAATGATAGCACATACAATCCAATAGGATATTAATGTTCAAGAGATCAAGACTTTTAAAATGATACCTCACAATGCATACTTTGTACAAAACATATTATAATTATATGACAGTGGAGAGTACAGGGCT